GTACACGCTCATAATTTCTAACTGCATAAATAAATTTCACCCATTTTATACCTTTGCATTTAATTTAAATAGATTATACAAGATGTGTACTTACTTTTACCTCACTATATTCAAAATTGTGTTTAGGAAATATGTTCTTAATTATTTATAATAAAGGTCATTTATTTTCTTCAGCATATAATTGTCTATTGCATGCAAAGAACATAAATTATTAATTGATTTTAAACTTAATGGGAGTTTGAGTAGTTTTTTTCAGATTTTGTTTTGTTGTTTTGTCTTTGAACTTCTATAAGCAATATAACACATTTCATTTTTAGAGCAGACATATTCATTACTTTTAGTTATGTTTCTGGAAGGCAATTGCTAGGATATAGAATATACATTTACCTTTATCAGATATGACCAAAATATTTTTCAAAGTTCACTGATAGATATAATATTTGTTCTGTAGTCTTAAATGTTAATTTTATAGAAGACAAAACTAATTTTTTTTTTGCTTGAAAACATGCAAAATTTATTTAGTAAATATTTTGATGAATTGAAGATAAAGAATTTATTTCATTCCTATTAAATATAAATAGGGTACCATATATACAATAAGTTATACATTGGAACATTTATTCCAGTTAGATTACAGCACATGTTCATATGAGAAACTGTACCTGAATATTCAAAATATTCACCTCTCTATGCTATGTCCATACCATGGAATAGTACTCTGAAGTTACAATTGATTCAATTTAGATATATCTCCAGAGAATTATGCCGAGTGAAAACAAGTTGAAAAGCTAATTCCATAACATTTATATAACATTTATATAACATTTCTCAAACTGCAGGATTATAGAAATAAAGAACAAATTAATGATTGTGAGGGCTTAAGGACCAAGTGAGTCAAGGAAGAAGTGCCTACGGTCATAAAGGGTGAAAGGAAAGATGCTTATGATGATGGAAATACACTTACTGACTTTGTCCTACTGCTTACCTCTTGGTTGGATACTAAAATAAATTTTCCTTACCATTAGAAGAAACTAAATAAAGGGCA